AAGGTGTTTAATGAAGCACATACGTAAGCTTATCTGATTTGGTTTTCTACTATTTCGGTACAGGAGTATTCAATAAACTTCACCTTAAAGTATAAAATATTTTAAGTAAAATGTACATTATACATTAATATCGTTAAAATTTAAGAAACTTGTTCTAAGAAAATTGTCGCTTACACATTATTCGCGGCGACCATTCCATTGTTTATACCCGCTTTTTGGCACACTGACTTTAATGTGTCATCTAATAAATAGTGTCGTCGTTCTCCTTAGCTGCTTTCAAATGATGTAACAAATTGTTGTCGGCGACATTTGGCGTGTTTTCTTATAGAAAGGTTGGTGTCTTTTCCCCCTTAGACGTTCCAAATTCGTTCAAAATATGCTAATTTAAAAACACATCTCTTTCAGTGCTCCTTCGGGGTTTTTGGACATGGCGGAAATCAACTGTTTCTTCAATTTAATAGTATTCGCTTAATTTTTGTGGAACCAAACATGTTTTGAAAGCTCTATATCATTTCTACATTCTTTCTTCAAATATTTCTCGTATTTCAGCTCCTTTTGCATTTGGTTTTCCGCATCGTGTCTTTATTATATTCGTAAATTTAACTATTTCAATAAAATCAGTTGGTGGTGGTTCATGATTGTGTGTTAATTAATAGCATACTGAGGATTTGGCCGTAACCTCTTTCATCTATGGACGCAACACTTACGGGGCAACGTTTATTGTAAAAACATTCACATCTCATGTACGATGCAAGAACATTTTTTTCTTTGAATCGACATACCTTAAGCATTGTTGACGCTATTTCCATTTGAATGGAGTAATAGCATCATTTACTTTGTTTCCAAATTTTTGTTGACTTTATTTCATTTTTGAAAAGGTAATAATGTCAATTAACTTTATTTCGCACCAGAATGCGAAACAGTGGCAATTGACCTTAAAAAATACTGACAAAATCTTCTAACATACTTCATACTATGATAATAAGTGCATAACACCACGGCGGTACGCGCGCCGGCTCAGCTCGCGTCGCGATGCGCCGTCCGCGCAAACGCCTTTCGCGAACAGTAAAAATAAGATAATTACCAATGCCTTTTTATTGCTTAGGGAGTTTCAATGATTTCCTTGTTTTTATATTTTCGTGAAATAAGACTCTTAGAAAAAAAAACAAAAAATGTGAAATATTTCCAGAATGTCACTTTTAGGTGAAAAAAGGATTTTTTGTTTAAATAGCTTATTTCTCCAAAAGTGTTCAAATGGCATATATTGTTGCCGAAGAAATATTAAACAAAAATCCTGCCTCCCAAGAAACACCATGACATGAAACCATGAAAAATGTCATGAAGAAGTTGGAAAAAATTTCAACATTATCTTATCTGATAAATGAGTTTCATAGTGATATATGTAAATGTTCAATAAGCATGCATTGAAATTCTGAAAACTATTAAAAAAAAATGCAAAAATAAGACAAATAAATTAATTTTTGAAGAGCCTGAAAGTAATTTCGTATTCTGCACAAATTTTCACGTCGATAAACGATTTCATGAAGCTACACTTTGTTTGGAAATTCGCCATACATATGTACGTTTTCGTGATGAACATTGCTTGGGAGCTAAAATTGTTCAAGCACAAAATGAACTGCCTTTTTCTACTGATAGCAAATTCTTTGTCATATTAAAATGAATGAAAAATTTATGGGTTTGTAATAGGGCTGTGCGATTAATTCATTACTCAAAATTTTAATTAATCATAAAGTAAATAACTCAATTATTCGATTAATTGGAAATTATGATTACTCAAACGTTCAGTTACCCGAGTAAGCCAGATTTTTGATTAACCAAAAAAAAAAATATTTGAGTAAGTTGCTTTATGATTAATCAACATTCGAGTAAAATGAGTAATCAACATTTCAACTCTTTACATACATATATATAAAGTAGTTAAAGTTAGTTGATGGTGCATTTACATGGTATGAATCTGTTCATAAGCCGTATGGGTTTTCCTATAAAAGAAGCACCAACTCTATGAAGAAATGAATGAAAGCGATATATATTTAACAATTTTGACTTATATACTTGGCAATATTTTTTTTTGTGAACAACAAATAAAAAAATTTTATTTTGTGCTAGCTTCGAAACTAGAAGCTTAAGCTACTGCCAATAAAGCCTTGTGGATTGCTATTTTTCCATATTTGTAATGCTTCCATTTAAACATCTTTTTGGAAAAACAGTTTTTTGTTCAGAATTGCTTGTTTATGAAACGCTTGGCATAAGTTGAAATGATAGGGATGTCGTTTTCTTCCGTTTCTCAGTGGATTTTATACTTGAAAAGGCACCAAAATATGTATGCAATACTTCTTCGTTTCAAGTACAAAACCGCGCATCAAGAAAATGCAAAACCTCGTATGTGAGGTTGCCTAAATTTTATAGGAGAGAGTCCTAATTAAAAACGGTTCTCTTTTTTAAACTTAATNTTTTTGTTAAATGTGCTTTAAAAAGGACCTACTGCCAATAAAGCCTTGTGGATTGCTATTTTTCCATATTTGTAATGCTTCCATTTAAACATCTTTTTGGAAAAACAGTTTTTTGTTCAGAATTGCTTGTTTATGAAACGCTTGGCATAAGTTGAAATGATAGGGATGTCGTTTTCTTCCGTTTCTCAGTGGATTTTATACTTGAAAAGGCACCAAAATATGTATGCAATACTTCTTCGTTTCAAGTACAAAACCGCGCATCAAGAAAATGCAAAACCTCGTATGTGAGGTTGCCTAAATTTTATAGGAGAGAGTCCTAATTAAAAACGGTTCTCTTTTTTAAACTTAATTATCTTATCTTATTATCCTCCGATATGCGGCGTGCGTGATCTTGTCACACAAAGTAAAGGACAGTTTTACGCCGACTTCGAACGGCGATTGCATTTTAATGAGAAGCTGTTTCCATGACAGAATACACTCGGAGGTTTACTATTACCAACAGAGTGGCAACCACTGGGCTTGAACTCAGGCTCTGGGTATTGCTCTACAGCAGTCGCCACTACTTTTACATATATTGCTGGTATATTCAAAATACTATCCCGAACTTCGGAGTGTATATATGAAATATAAAAAAAATGAGAGGTACTATAAGAAAATGTACCCAAAATTCCGGAGCAAATGAAAAAATGCTCATTGAAAATAGTTCACTTGTATAAATTAAAAGATATAACTTAAGCGGTTGCAGCGCTAAACAAAGGGAAAAGTTAGAAAAATAGCAATGCGGTTTGAAGGAAACATTCTTTGATTTCGAATTGAAAATACATTACGATCATATTGTACCGAAATAAGTGCGGTATCCCTGCATTTTGTGAAAGCCAGAAAGAAGCATAAACTATATGAAAAAATGAAAGGGAGAAGTATACATGCCTTCTATAATTTTGACTTATATGTATATTTGGCAAGTCTTTGTGTAAACAACAAAAAATACACATTTTCATTTCTTTGCCAGCTTGGAAAATATAGGCATTTTTTACTTAAATGTGATATAAAGCTCATTAAAATGTTCTGTAATGTCTTGTTTTAAGTTTGTTATCATAGTTCTTTGTATTTTTATTGTCCACTAAACGTGAGTGGCTTCTATTACAAAAGTTCTAGAACAAAAAATTTCTTTGTTTGTTTATTGTTTTTAATTTTTAAAATTCATACTTTTGACATGTATGTGAATGGCGGAGTTGCCGCTTTCCTCCTTTTCGGCGGGTTTTTATATTAAAAAGGCATCAAAATGGGAAAAAACATCCTTGGTATCTCTGCATCTGTTAAACTGTTTGTGGGAAGATGTATGAAAATCCAACTTGCTATAACTTCATATGCTTAACAGTATCACAACAGTATGTTTACAGTATCTCCCCATAATTTTTCTTATGAAAAAATGTATTATATGCATCCCACTCGATATCATTGAATTCCTCATTGGAACATGTAGTCCCTCTATTTTAGCGTATCAACAGTTCATATGGCTTCATACCATGTAAATGCACCATGATACTTTGAAACAACGTTTCTGTTTTCAAAAATTAAAACGAAAATTTTTTTTCATATACAGAATGTAAAAAAGAAAATAAGCATTTTCCAAAGCAAACTCTTTTAACGAGCAAAATTATTATTTTTTTGAGTAATCATATTTCAAGTAACTCGATTAGTCATCGTTTTGAGTAATCAGAATCTTGATTACTAGAGTAATTGATTAACCGAATAATTGATTAACCAACTTGCTCGAGTAATCGAATAATCGCACAGCCCTAGTTTGTAATCATTATAATTTTACTATATGTACATACAGTTATATTTCATACGTTCGTTTTCTTAAGGCACATTTAAACTTAGCCAAAAATTGTTTGGGTGGAGTCATGCGAAATTATTTAGTATGAATAAGTTGAGAATTCGGGGTGAAAATTTTTAAGCACAGCTTTGGCGTACGGCATTTACTCTATCATTTAATGATTTCGTTCGCCATATTAACCTTGAGAATGTTGTATTTTCCCTAATTATTTCTTCCGCTCAACTATTTATGTATGCATACATACATATGTACATATGTATGTTTCTGCAAAACTATTTTCACTACAAAAACTAAACCCATCCGAAAATAATTATTTTGAACCAAGTCTAATAACCCCTATTCTTAGTTCCTTGGTAATGCTGTCAAAGTATTCAGCATCTCTGGCAGCAATTACAAGGTGGTAGCAAAATTCGCCATTAACAAGAGTGCATAGAGCGAATAAAGCGTGTAAATGTTGGGTAATAGACCTGTTACTGAAAGCATTGTCACCGTTGTTAGCTGCAGAAGATCTCTTGGATATTGATCTGAAATTTTTTAATTGATTGTGTCGACAAGATTTTGCTGATATTTATAATTTAAAGGTCGTTTGCTGATGCAATTTATATACTTTTGACTCGTATTTAAATACATATATGTCTTATTCTATAGCCGTTTTTTCGGTTTTATTCTGAGATTTTAATTTAACTTACCATCGACTATTCGTTCCTTCGTCTTTGCGTATTTGCTCTTTGATGTGGGTGTTTGTTGTTTTTGCTGCGGTTTTTCTGTCGCTGCTTTTTTGGTCTCTGCTAGCTGAGTCTTTTTCTTTATTGAATTTCTGGGCGACGACATATTAATGTTTTTTTTTATGCAAATTCCTCTTCTGACCACTTTGCTTCTTAGCGCAGATTTACTTTTCTTTTTAACGTAGAATCCCGATAATTCGTAATCGCAAGGGCTATTAATATTTTACGAATTTATGAGGATTTCCAATTAACGAGATTTCGATTTTACCTGAACAAGAAAATATACCCTTGTGGTCAGCTGATTAAGTTCAGTGGCATTTTGACCATTTTTGGCTATTCTATTTTTCGTTTCTTTTTTTAATGTTTATACTTCTTTTAAAAAAGTCTTGCACATTACATAACTAGCAACACATAAAGCCACATTCGTACAAAAATTATAAGAATTCCACAAACTTTAACAATTACAGCGAAAATTTAAAATTTAGAAATTCTAGAAAATCTCGTGATTTTTAAAATTTTATTTGGTTGACGGTGTTATGAAATTTCTTCCATATAAAATAAATTATCGAATAAAAAGTTAAAAATTTGTTAAATTTTTTCGAATTTTTATAACCTTTTTACGAAGTTTGAAATGTGGATTTACGTATGTGATGCTGGTTATGTTCCGCCGCCGAAAAAGTAGTTAGATTTCAGCGAGCCCGAAAGAACAACTGGTACAATGAGGAGTGTGAGGAAGCTGCAGAGAAAAAGATGCCGGCTACAGGGTCACGCTGCGATCGGGCGCAAGCGAGACGTATTTGCCGCAATAAGAAGAAAGAGGCCGAAATACATGAGTGCGAAGAGCTTGAAATACTGGCCGACAGAAAGAATGCCCGAATAGTTAGGCGACTTCGGAAGGTTTCAAGACCAGGGCGTACTCCTGTAAGAACAACAATGGCGACCTAGTTATCGATGTTCAGAACGTACTTAAATTATGGAGGGAACACTTTTATACCCTTCTGAATGATAGCAGCACGGAAAGTTGTGAAGAAGAAGAACCCGAGCCCCCAGTCGATGATGACGGAGTCGAGGTTCCTCCGCCTGACTATGACGCGGTACGAATAGCAATAATGCGGCTGAAAAACAACAAAGCTGCTGGAGCTAACAGTCTGCCAGCTGAGCTATCCAAGTACGGTGGTGAGGAGCTGATAAAGTGCAAGGATCAACTCCTATGCACAATACGGTCAGATGAAAGCCCGACGACTGGAATTTAAGTGTGCTCTGCCCAATCTACAAGAAAGGTGACCCCGCCATTCGCGCCAACTACCGGGATCAGCCTTCTAAACATAGGTTACGTGGTCTTATCGAGCGTATTATGTGAAAGACTGAAGCCCACCGTCAGTGGACTGATTGGGCCTTATCAGTGTGGCTTTAGGCCTGGAAAATCCACCATAGACCAGGTATTCACAATACGCCAATTCTTGGAAAAGACCCGCGAGAAAGGAATCGACACTCACCACCTATTTGTCGACTTTAAAGCCGCTTTCGACAGCACTAAAAGGAGTTGCCTATATGCCGCTATGTCTGAATTTGGCATCCCCGCCAAACTGATACGGCTGTGTAAAATGGCGTTGAGCAATACCACCAAAACCGCGAAGTCTTTTCTGCCTTTTCCAAGTTGGATAAGGAAGCAAAGCGAATGGGTCTGGTGGTAAACGATGACAAGACGAAGTATCTCCCGTCATAAAACAAACAGTCAGCACATTCGCACCTTGGCATCCACGTGACTGTTGACAGTTATAATTTCGAAAAAGGTGAGAATTTCGTTTACTTGGTAACCAGGATTAACACCGATAATAATGTCAGCATGGAAATCCAACGCAGAATCACTCTTGACAACAAGTGCTGAGTCACTCACCATGCCCTTGCTGGTATATGGCGCAGAAGCATGGACAATGGCAACATCCGATAAGGTGGCTCTTGGAGTATTCGAGAGAAAGATTTTGCGGAAGATTTGCGGGAACTATGAGCTTTACAACGACATGGACATTGTGCAGCGACTTAAAATACAGCAGCTCCGTTGACTTGGCCATGTCGTTCGAATGGACACCGACGCTCCAGCTCTGAAAGTATTCAACTCGGAACCCGCTGGTGGTAGCAGAGGAAGAGGGAGGCACCCACTGCGATGGAAAGACCAGGTGGAGAAGGACTTGGCTTCACTTGGCATTTCCATTTGGCGTCAGTTGGACAGAAGAGAAATGACTGGCGCGATTTGTTGAACTCGGCCAAAATCGCTTAGGCGGTTACAGCGCTAAATAAGAAGAAAAAGATTATAAACATTAAATAAGCAATAGAAAAATTGCCAAAACTGGTCAAAATGTCACATAACTTAATCAGCTGACCACAAACGTGCATACAAAAAAAAACACAAAATGGTTCACGGTAAAGGTAAACGCTATAGTACTATGAATTATTTTTTCGGGTTAAATCTATACCGAATTTCGCCTTGCGTTACGAATTACAAGAGGTTGTATGAATTACGATTTATAAGAAGTTATATGTAACTTTACTTGTAAAAAAATGCGATTTAACGGGGGGACCAAAATGTATGAACATTTTTGGAAATAAATGAGGAATTTCGAAGCACCAACGGATTGTTACTAATTGTTGAGATTTGCGAATTGACGGGGTTTGAATTATCGCGATTCCACTGTATTTGTATTTTATTGGGGATTTAATTTGTTTTGTTTTATATTTGTATTTTATATTTTTTTGACTCACTATCTATCCTTTGCTAGACGGCGTTGGTGTTTCCTAATTTATTGAGTATTTTATATTTAATATGTGTATTTATATTTTAACATTTATTTATCTACATATGCATGTGTATGCATGCTGAATTTTTTATTTTTTATTTTTTTTTATTTGGTTTTTACTTTTAGTATAAAAATACATACATATGTATGTACGGATACGTATATCTACATACATATGTATGCATGTATATTAGAGTGGTCCAAAAAAATTTTTTCCGAGATAGGGTTTGGGAAAACTTCCAAAATTTGTCCTCTTGCCGAAAGAGGTGCTGGTACCAACCCTTACGTTTATATGTATCCATTTAGAGGATGCACATGATACTTATATTTTACTCTAGAAGTATTGTGTACATATATTAATCAAACAATTGGTTGAGTAACCTAAGAACATTTGAAATTTAAATTGTCTATTAAAATATCACAAGCTTCCGTTGTCGTAGCAACGGTAGCTTTTTATAAAAGTCACCAATATTTTTGCCAATTTCACAGCGATCCAGTAGCGCATTTCAAGGTCATTGAGCATCCTGTATTGGTTGCAGTAGAAAACTGAAAGTTGGTATAGATATTACAAATCTCAAAGGGAAAAACTAATGGAGTGCTCCGTTTTTTAGGATGACATTTTTTTTTCCATACAAAAATTGGACCACTCTAATGTACATATATGTATGAATAAATTTTTCTAAGTATATATACGTACATATGTATGTGTTGAGTTTGAAATAATAATATATTGTTAATCCTTTAATTTAGTACATATGTATGTACATATTATTATTATTTGCATGTCTTGTCGTATTTATAAAGTCGGATATAAGAAACTGCGACACAGCCGAAATAAGATCGCACTGAATCAGTGCGTTAATTGGGGATACCCAGTGCAGTTAGTGGTGCAAAATAATTAATGCACTAACGATATGGACTCACTTAAATTCATTCTATACATACACACATTTAATATTAAATTTAATTTTTTAACACCACTGACACATAAAACTGTAGAAACAAATTTCGCGTATACACTATAGAATTAGAGCACTACTAACAACAATAAAAATAAAAGTTTTTGTGTGCTAGGCGGCCTTAACTGCCTTGCAATTGATGAATTTCGATGCGCTTGGGCAAAATTTAAGAACTGATTTCAGCAAATTAATACGTATGTACATATGTACTATGAATGCATATACTTATGTATGATTGCAAGTGGTTGTGATTATATGCACACATTCACAAACATAAATACATACATATACATATATGTATGCATGCGCGCCTGTGTTTACCAGCAGAAGTGTTTTGTTTAAATAGTTGTTGTATTTTTGCTTTTTGAATTGAACTTGAACTGGTAACCTTCAGAAATTACAATCTGTTGCCAAGAATTCCTCCACTTTACAAAGTATTTTTATAAATAGTAATATAGCATACATATTTTCTCGATAAATAAACTTTTATTTCACGCTTTCATTGCACTCCACAAATCACTTTTTATAATAGCAGCATTGGTCAATAGGTTACATTTTAATTTTAATTATGTACTTTATTGCAGATATTAAGCACTTTACCCAAAAACCAATCAACAGTTGTATATACATACGTATGTATATTCGATTAAAAACCTATTTGATCTAAAAACTCAGCGCGACAAACCTAAACAAAATTTTACCATGAGACAATAATACTTATTAAACGGATTATAATCAGTTCGGAGGCACTATGTACTTCTCCTTCTGGCGACAATTTAACACTTAAAATCGCGCACGCCTCCTATCCGTTAGCTTGTGCATGTTTTGAAATACGAAATTACGAACTTTGTGCGTATTCCGTTTTTCGCGATCGAGCTCCGCACATCGACAGTTTTTCAGATTTTCATTAAAGAAAAATAGCCAGCTTCTTACACTGCCCTTGAGAATAAGATTTAGTACATATGTATGTAATGATTTTTATAAATAAAATACATTCGATTTTTCTCAGTATACCTACATACATACCTAGGAACAGAGGCTCTCAGTGTATATTTCTCTCTAATAGGTAGATATGTGTGTACATTAGGGTGGTCCAGAAAGAGTAACGTCGGAATTTCAATGCTCTCACCCCCTAGAATTGTTCTACGTTGAAAAAAATATATCCCAATTTATTTTATTTTTAAATCAAAAAATATTTAGAAGTCTTTCAAAGCGGCCAAAGTTTTCCTTATATGCTATGTTGGAATAAAAACACTTTTCTTAGAAATGGAACTCTTGAAAAGCAATATTTTTCGATCGGAAAACTTTGGTTTTTTTCGGGAGATTTCGAATAATAATACCCAATTTAGCAATTTTTTAATACTAACGATTTTTTATTGGTACTCCATTGCATTTTTGGGGGTTTTTAGGGGTTTTTAGCTTACTTATAAATTATAGTTACTATAAAAAAATGGTTAAATAAACAATTCGGTATTATTATAGGGAATCTCCTGCAGAGAAGCAGAAAAATATTGATTGTTCAGAATTATATACCATTTCTACGAAAATGTGTTTTTCCCCATATAAAATACATGTACAACTTTGAGTGCTTTGAGCGACCTCTAAATATTTTTCGATTTCAAAGAAAAAAAATGGGGGTATATTTTTTCGGTATAGAACAACCATAAAATTCTCATGTATTTTTGAACCACCCCAATGTACATACATATGTATATGCACAGGTCTATGTTTGGATGTTGAAAATTGTTTTGCAGCATTTGAATTTGATGACGCTTCAAAAGAGCGCGAAAAAATCATGTCAATATTCTTTGAGTTGGAATAACCTTTAAATTTTATCAATGAATAGCAAAACCTCCACTACAAGTTCTTTTGGTGATGTCTGTACTGGCGCCTACGCAGATCTATACACATATGTATATATGTATGAAAGTGGTTTTTCAAGTTTAACTCAAATAAAGAAGATATCCTTAATTAAATACTTGCGCAAAATGACACAATTTATTGTTATATTAGGTTAAGTTCTTGCAAAATATACTACTTGGAAAATATTTATGTTCTTCGATACGAGGAATTTCTTTCTAAGGTTCAGCCGTTCGCTTTTTTTATTTTAAAGTAGTAGTACTAGTAGCAATAGTAGTGGAATTTAAGCAGTTCTTAATATATGTAAATATATACGTTGAGTGCAATAGGTCAGGCTGGCCAGCTTGGCTCAGACCACGCCATTTTGAATCCTTTTTTTTATTTCAAATGTCATTTAACCTTTCAATTTGGCACTAGGTACCAAAATGACACTTCTTGAAAATAGCAATCTTTCAAATCATTTTTGAAATCCATCTCATGTACTACTTTTTAAACAATTAATATTTTCTAGTTTCTAAAGTTTTTACATACATATGAACATGTACAACCACTTTATTTTATTTTGGTGCTGCGCTTTTTTTAGAAATGTGGTTCTTATTTTATTTCCAATGGTAAAGAGATAAATAATCAAGGCGAATTCATACAAGCTGGAAGCGGCAGCATTAAAACAAAAAACTACACTAACAAATTATATGCAGGATGACAATCAAAACTATTGAAATGTATACCAAAACCATTATTTTTGACATACAAACACAATTCTCCTCAAAATCAGCTTGTAGAACTTTTTTTCCTTTTTGAGACCTTTTTTTGCCTAATGTGGCCCCCCATAGCTAAGGGTAGTTGGCAGCCCCGAATATTAACTAGTAGATTGTGGTAACTAAAGTAAAATATGAAATCTTTTATTTCAATATTATTAATATTTCTGGAGAAAACCGCATCGATGGTAGCCGCTCCTTTGGTTGTTTGATCATTTCTACCATTAA